GTTTGAACTACAGGTCCAAAATAACATGTCTTTCATATGAAATCAATTCTACTTGAATTGTTTCTCTAGACTTAAGATCCTCATATATATATTTAGCGCTATTGTTATACCCCATTTTAACACGGGTCAAACTAGAGTACAACATATTGATAAATTCGAGGTTAATTAATTACGAGAGTCGCCACCTAATTATTTTAAGATGAATTAGGACACCATCTTTTATCTAAATAACGCCAAAGTTAACTCTGTTTATATAGTCTACTTAACCTTGAGATTATGGGTAAGGGTTCTAATTAATCCTACAGGGAAGATTATTAAAGCACCCTACATGATTCGTTAGTTACGGTTAACCGGCCAAACTTAGGTTAATTAAATGTAAGACTATGTATAGTAATTGATGTGTCTTAGAAAAAAGTAACTCATATTTTTTTTTTAATCAATCCACTAGGCAGAACCTAGGGCTAGTTTTTTATATTTATAAAGCAAAAAAGAAAACAAATGTCATGAAAGTCTAACAACAGGAAGAAATAAAATATGAAAACTACAAATGTCCTATTATCAAAGTTGAACAAAAAGCCCAACAATGATATCACATGAAGCCTATTGTAATCTATGCTTGTTCGAACTAGCCCTTTGAGCCCAATATCCAAATGTTCCAGCTGCTATTTGCTTGTTTTGAACCTGTAGTAGTTGCAGCAGATAGCCATTGCCCAGTACTTGCCTTCATAACCTCCTTCTTTCCTTTTGTGTCCACTTTGCACTTGTTCTTTGATAGTTCTTGCCCAGGTCTCTTTTAACCACATCACTAGTATCTTTCTCTGTATGTTAACTGAATTGTTACACTGTTACCTGTATAAAATACTGACAAAATTCTGCACAATGAGATGAAGCAGTGCATTGTCCAAAGATCCCAAATATTGTGTTTGTCCTCGTTTTTGGGAGCCTTCCATTGAATTTTCTTGTGTCTCCTTCTGCAAATTGCTCCTGAATGATCCCATGTCCTTGCCATATAAGGGTGTTAGCCCAAATTCTTCCAATCTTTCCCATAGAAAGCTGCACAGAAGGACTTGCTGAATTTAGGGGTGTGCATTCGAATCGGTTTATCGATAAGTCGAATCGATTATTTGTTATCGGTTTATCGATATCGGTTTATTGATTTATCGTTTTCGATTTCGATTTCGAAATTTTCCTTATCGAGTTATCGATTTCGATTTCGATTTTGTCCTCTTTGGTTATCGGTTTATCGATAAACCGATAAGAAATAGTAAAAAAAAAAAAATTATTTTTTTTATTTTTTTTTAACCCTTATTCTATAATACCCTTTCCTTTACCCTAAGTCCCTAACCCTATTATTTCATCTACCACATTTAAAGAATGATCATATTTAATGCTCAAGGGAATGAAGTTCAAATTAATGGAAAATAGAATTAGCCGTGATGATGTATTTTTTTTTTTATACCGGTGGAGTGTTGGTGGCATACATTTGTTCCCTTACTTTAGTTTCGTTGCATGTGCTTGTTGGCATAATTTTTATGTTATAAACGGTGTTCGTCTTATTTTAGCTTCTTTTGGTCCATATTAGTTAGGCGTGTTTATAGCGATATACTTTCCGTGGAATCCCGCAAATTTTCTTATTGGTGTAATCGATAACCGAATCGATAAGCCCCAAAAATCGATAAATCGAAATCGAAAAAATCGAAACCTTATTGAAACGATAACGATAAGCATATGTACAAATCGATAATCGATAAGTAATTATCGATAAGAGTCAAAATCGAATCGATAAATCGAATGCACAGCCCTAGCTGAATTTGCAGCCAACCCAGCGATGCTGTTTTTGGCTCCTTTTGCGTATGTTGTCCTTCTGCTTTGTGCTGATTTCCTTACCTCCAGTGACTGCCCTTGCTGAGATTTATATTGCTGTTCTAAGGATTTGTACCATATGTGCTTCAACATTCTCAAAATCCATTGCCAAACATAGCATCTGATGCTACATTTTCTCCGTGAATGCTTTATCATGCTTATGCATGTCACCTTTCCTTCCTCAAGGGAATGAGCACATGGTGCTAATACCACCCATAGAGGTCGTAATGAGTGACAAGGCATGATTACAGTAATGTTCCCTGCAAAACAACACACAATGTTAGTAAAATAATGCATTCTCATGTTCTCATCCATAAGGATTTGAACATGAAGAATGCCTGATCTTTGAGGGTGCCAGCAACTGCTTTCTTTGCTGCCTTCAAGTGCCTGGTTCCCTGTATCCCATATTCCAAATTGTCCTGTCCTATTTCTGGACAATTGTCCTATCATTCTTGCCAACAGCTCCCTTTGCCCAATTCTCTTAAACTTTCTGGGCTTCTTGTCACTAAATTTATATGGAGTATCCTTTTGTTGTATTCCAGATATCACTCCACTCTAGCTTATTGATATTTCCTCATGTACTTGCCCAATTCTCATTCTGGGCATTTTTCTCCAATTAGTTGCCAACCTTGTCCATCTTCTTATGAAACTGAGGGATACCCTCTCTGTGATTGCTGTAGTGATTTGAACCTCATTGATTCTGTTAGACACCTCTGATTTTAAATTCCAAAGGTGTCTGCAACTCACAGAGTATTTGATCTTCAACTTGCTCCTTGTTGCCTCTATGTTTACTACTTTTAACTTCCTTCCAATGGAATGAGTGCAAAGCACTAATACCACCAATTGGATTTCCATTAGATAGTAGTGCATAGAAGCATCACCTGCAAAAAAGAAAACCAAGTTAGTGTAAAAAATCCCCATACTCTCCTCCTTAAGGATTTGAGTATGGTGATCATTTATATTGTTTCCTGGCAGCACCTCTTCCTTTGATACACCTTCCCGTCCCTTGTCTAATTCCTTGCGATAGAAACTCTTATGTATGGGCATTGCAACTTGTCACAATTCACCAACTTCGTCCCCTGTACATCCAGATCTTCAAATCCATGACACTCCATAGGACCAACATCCAGTNATCAAGAACCCCTTGTGCTAAAGGTGGCTTGATATTCACTAGTATATGTTCTGCATACTCTTCAGGAAGAATTTCAAACAACCTTTCTGCATTCCATCCTTCTCCTTCTATCACATCATACACATTATGCACAGATTCATCTACCCCAAAATTTTGTGGAATAAGAAAATACAATGCCCCCAAACCTGTCCAATTATCGTACCAAAACAATGAGGAGCCCATTTTTGGATGCCACATAATCTGATGCTCAATCAAGTATCTACACTCCAACATCTTCCTCCATACATGAGATCCTTTCCTCCATGGAACTATCATAGAATTCAGCTTTTTGCAGTACTTTTGACTCATAAAAGAGCTCCAAAGACTAGGCTTGGTTCTATATTTCCACCACAGTTTGTCGAAGAGAGCTTTTGCTACATCATGAAGAGACCTGAACCCAATCCCTCCTTCTTCTTGTGGCATACATAGAGTAGTCCATGATGCCCAATGTCTGTTAGTACCTGTAACTGAGCTGCTCCAAAAAAATTGAGCAAATATCTTATGCAGTCGATTGATCACATGAGCTGGAGGGTTAACAGTTGATAACAGGTGGATTGGCATGCTTTGCAGAACATGAGCAATGAGTACTGCCCTGCCACCTATAGACAACAACTTACCTTTCCACGATTGTAATCTGTCCAATACCTTGGTGATCATAGGCTGGTAATACTCCATCTTCCTCCTTGAGTAAAATATAGGATATCCCAGGTATATAATTGGAAATTCTTGCCTCTTTATTCCTGTGACTCTCTCCACTTTATCTGCCACTTCTGCATCTGTTAAATGATGAAGATACACAGCTGACTTTGCCTTGTTTACCAAATGCCCAGATGCTGATTCATATGCTGCAAGTACCTTCATGATGAGTCTAAGGGATGTGGCATCAGATGATGAGAAAATAATTGTGTCATCTGCATAGGCAAGATGGTTGATCTTTGGGCTCCATTTAGGTAGGCCATAGCCACAGAAGTATAAATTCAAATTCAAAGCATTAAGGCCCCTTGACAATGCTTCAGCAGCTAAAATAAACAAGGTAGGAGACAATGGATTCCCTTGCTTCACCCCCCTCGAAGATTTGAAAAAACCATGAGCTTGGCCATTTATTAAGACTGAGTACCAGTTATTAGACACTATAACGAACACCATGCCTATGAATCTCTCTGAGAATCCCATTTTTCTTAACACCTTGGTCAGAAATAGCTAGGATAGTCTGTCATAAGCCTTGGTCATGTCTAGCTTCATAATAACATTAGGCCCTGCCTTTGTCCTAAGTCTCATATCTGTGACAATCTCTTGAGTTAGAAGAATATTTTCCACAATGCTCCTTCCCTTAACAAAACCAGACTGTTCTTCAGATATTAGAGTAGGTAACAGTCCCACCAGCCTCTCATGTAACACCCTTGAGATCACTTTATTGGAAAAATTACTAAGGGTGATAGGTCTTAAATCAGAAAATGTGTATACCTTTTTCTTTTTTGGAAGTAAGACAAGGTTGGTGTGAGTCACACATTTTGGCAAATCATGACCATTAAAGAATGCTCTCACTATGTCAAATAGATCCCCTCCAATGATGTCCCAAGCTGACTGATAGAATTTACCTGTGAAGCCATCGGCCCTCCTGCACTGTCTCCATTCAGTCCAAACACAGCTGCCTTAACTTCCTCCATAGTTGGTTGCTTTATTAGCTCTTCATTCTGCCCCATGTCAATCAATGAAGGAACATTATCTATGATATGGAAAGAAGTAGGAACTGTATTTTCAGTAAATTGATCTTCAAAGAACTTGATTGCTTCTGCAGCTATTTCTTCCTCCTCTTCAATCCACACTCCTTGACTGTTTTGAATTCTGGTCAGCTGCAACTTCTTTCTTCTGCCTCTTACATGAGCATGAAAAATTTTAGTATTTCTGTCACCATCCTTGAACCAAGACATTCCTGCCTTTTGCCTCCAATACTTTTCCTCCAAAGCTAAAATTTGATCAATTCTGCCTGCACTTTCTGTAGCCTTTGTCTATTTAGCTTTGTAGGATTTGCTTCAAATTCTGCTTCATGAACAAGCACAACTTCCTCCAAACTAGCTATCTTCTGGAATATATCTCCAAATGTACTCTTGCTCCACACTGATAATGCCTGTTTTACCTTCTTCAATTTATGATTGAACATGATATATGGACTTGCACAGAAATCAGCTTTCTAGTTCTCTTGCACCACTTCTTTGAAAGATGCATGTTCCACCCAAAAGTTCAGGAATCTAAATGGCTTCTTCACAGGAGGAGTCTCTAAATCACACTTGATTTACAATGGACTGTGATCTGACCCTATTTTAGGTAGATGTTGTACTTCTATGCCTGGGAAAGTCTGCTGAAATTCAGAATTGGCTAAGCATCTATCTAACCTTTTGAATATGCAATCCTCTTCTGCCCTACCATTCCACCATGTGAAGATACTACCCTTAAATCCCAGATCAAAAAGATTGCAGGTGTTAATGCAGTGCCTAAAGTCATCAATTTCATTTATGTGAACTGGAAGTCCTCCAAATTTTTCCTCCTCATCCCAAATGACATTGAAGTCACCTCCTACCAACCATGGCACATTCATGTCACTTGCCATAGCATACAATGAGTTCCATAGTTCTATTCTCTCAATGGCATCACACTTAGCATATACTAATGTAAGAACAATTTCTACATGTAATTCTGTATGAAAAAGCCTTAGAGTTAGCTGCCGGACCATGTTATACATTACTGTGACTTCAAACACCTCATCAATGAATACCCATATCTTGTTTGACACATTAGAAATAGCCTGTGAAAATCCAATTCTATTTCTGTACCTTTCCAAGGTCCTAGATTGCTGCATGGGTTCCATCAATCCTATAAATTCATAATTGTTCTTTCTATGCATTTTGATCAGCCTTTCAAAGGCTTGCTGAGTGTTTACTGACCTGATGTTCCAAATGAGAGCATCCATTACTGGTTGAGGGATTTAGATAAGGTTCTCCTTGTTTGAACTCCACCTATAGGAACAGTAGAGCTTTCTTTCTGTTGTTTCTTCTTACCTTTTGCTGCAAATTTCACCTTTTCAAAGTGCCTAGGTGAAAGGTCCCCTTGTCTTGCTATGTTCTGAAAATTCTGAGTTGTTGACTCTTGATCCATATCATGGCCTGTTCTGCATGTTCCTTCTTCTGCAATATTATCCTCTTGTTCACCATCAGTAGCCCCAGCTATTTGCTGCTGAGAATTCACCAATATTGTTTGCTCCTCCCCTCTCTTCAATAACTTCAACCGAGACTTGTCCAATGGAGCAGTGATTTTTGGCATGACATTTGTCTGAATGTTTTGACCATCATTCCTAACCTTTACACCTTCCTGCTGTATGTCTTTTTCACTAATATTCTGACTTGCACCTTCTCCAGTTCCTCCAGGATCCACTGCATCAATTCCTATACCTTCTGCATTTTGAACACATTCCCCATGAGATCCAGCTTTATCCTGTATATTCTTGATTACTGCTTGCTCCTTGGACTCAGTATTTGCCTTTGTAGAGTTATCATCTGCTTTGTTGTCAAATGTGATTATGGCATTCCCATTTACACTTTGTTTCTCATCCTCCTTCTCTTCATGCATTGGCTCCTCATCAGCTTGAGCACCTAATGGTACCTCATCAGCATCTGAATCCTCCTCTCTTAAATTAGACCACAACTTTCCTCCACTCCATTGCACTTTCTCATTCACCTTAGGAAAAACAGTATCATTTGTTTGAATTTCTGGATTGCTAGCTAATTCCTTATCCACCAATGTGTCCTGTGAAGGAATATCCTGACAGGAAGTATTAACTCCCACAGTAATACCACCTGCATTGCCATTGAAAGCTCTTTGCACCCATTGAGCTGTAGATTCCTTGCCTCTAATTTCTTCCTGTCCTCCCCCTCTTGTGTTTGAATCAGCTCCACCATTAGTTGACCCAATACCAGCTGAATTTAGATTGAATTCTGGAGCTGCAGGATTCAACTTTCTTGCAGTATTAAAAATCTGCTGTTGATGATGTTGCACTGTACCATGATTTCCTCCTGCTGGACTTTTGGGACTTGATTGGACTGCTACTAAAGCCATCTGATTTCCATTACCAGTTTGAGTTTTTCCTGCATTACTATTGTCATTACCTTGCATTCCTCTCTTGGAAGGAGAAGAAATATCAACTTGTATAATTTCCTGCACCTCATCAATAACTGCCAGCTGTTTGCCCTGCTCATCACCATTTTCTTCCTCTTCCAATGCTGCAAATTTGTTAGATGTTTGCACCTGCTCATTGCTAGGAACCACTGACTTCTTCTGTTGTACTAGCACAATTTCTTGGCCAGTTTTAGGTGCTCCTTCAGTCAAGTTCTCCCTTGCTTTTCCTCTATTGTCCCTCACCTCTTTCCATAGTGCACCAACATTACCAACTACCTTACCACTTGAAAGAATCATCAAAGGAGCTGTCCCTTTACCTTGCTGATTATTGGATCCCATCTCTACTGCCTTGTTAGCCTGCTGCTCACCAGTCTTACTTGCCATCAATTCTGGATGAATCCTCCAACATTCTAACATTTTATGTCCTTGTAACTTGCACTCTTTGCAATATTTAGGTAGGTAATAATATTTAATGGTCACCCACTCAGTTCTCACATCTCTAGTTACCTCATTCACAATGTCCATTCGAACCTTCTTAGGAAGATCAGCTAAAAGATCAACCAACACTTTCACACGTGGACAACTAGGCCTTGTTTTATTCACAGTAGCCAAATCAAGGTGAAGTGGCTTACCTACTGCAGAAGCTAAGGAGAACAGGCACTCTTTAACAAAATAAGTTGGTAACAAATTAGGGAATGATATCCAGGTCATTACCTTAGGTGTTTCCTCTCCAACCTTAAATTTTGCATCATAAATCAAGGTTCTTAATTGATATTCATGCCCATGCTTATCCTTGACGTAATACACACCTTTAGAAGAAAAGTCCACAAAATCTTGCCATAATGACAATCGTACCAATATGTGCCTATCACGTAGATAACCAATGTTACACTCACCTTTAATCCCACACTGCATAGGAACAATGTGAAGTAGTTCATTGAGCTCAGGCCATCCATATGAGAATTTGCACACTACTGCATATTGCAAACCTGCAATAACGTTCATACGTTCTACTTCTGCTTCTGTAAATCTAACCATTGGTTGCCCTTGAAGGAACGTTGCTCGCCATAGAGGGATAGGTTCAACAGCTGCTGCACGATCATGCAAAGCAGCATTGCTCGATGAAGGTTTTATTGCATTAGCATAATTCATGGGCTCGACGTTGTTATTTGTTGTCGTGCATGGCTTGGTAATGTTGGGAGGAGGTTGGGGAGGCAGCCCAGCCACAGCTGGTGGCTGACCGCAGGCCGGCGAGGCCATGAAGCTGCTGCGCGAAGTTTCTCTCTCTAGTCGCCTAATTTTTTCGCCAGAGCTTCTCTCTCTAGACTCCAGTTAATTGATATATTTTTGCAATATGTGTGAATCTATTTGTAAGTAACTCATATTCGTTACAGATTAAAAATGTTTTTTTTTTTTAAATAAAAAAAATAAGTAATCCTTCAAAAGTTTTTGTCTGAAACACGTTAAGTCAAGATAGAAGAACTGTTCAAGATTTGAACTCAAAAAAAAATGCTTTATCAAAACTGTTAGGATTTGAAATAAAAAAATACTTGTTTGATCTCAAATGATTAACTACAAAAGAACTCTTTAAACTAAAGAAACGGATAAAGAAGCCAAAAATCAGTTTGCTTAGTTTAGAAAGAACTTTAACATTTGAAAGGCTAAAAGTCACGTTCTAAAATAAAACTGGAGTTCAAGTTCTGTGCTAATTATGAGTTTAGAAAGCACAACTAATTTTAATAAATATGACACGCATCTAGTTTTACTAGTTCATATTAAAACCAACAAGAGCACTACAATATATAAGATAAATAATTTGTTAGCATCCTAAAGTGAAAAATACCAAATTCAAACTTGATTTTCAATACCATACTAAAGATGAATCAAAACTAAAAAATTCAAATCGCATAAATAATAATCAACCAAGAGAAACGAAATTTATGCTAAAACGAAAGCCGCCATAGGCGAGTTGCTGTCCATTAGCGTAAAATATAGTGGTGACTCCATGCTCGGTTTGGCGAGTCTTGCATTAAGACTCATATTACTCCAAGTGCATATGCAAACAAAGATGAAAGAAGACATGGATTAGAGAAATATAATAAAAAAAACCTGAAATAGACTACGAAAACAAAGGCAACATATAAGTCAATCTTCTAGCTTAAACCCGAATTTTAGGCTTTCGTTAAAGTGCAAATAATTATCTTCCTTCAGTGAATCAAACATATTTGTAGTTTCCTCAAAAAAGATATGAAGATAGTCTTTTCCACGTTCATTTGAGATCTAAAAGTTAAACTAACAAAGCTGGCCTAAGTATAATCCATTTTGGTGACAGTAAACATGGAAACTCACTTAACCCTTTTTAAAATTAACCAAATACATACTATTTTAACCTTATTCCAATTCATAGAACCAAATGTTAAAAAATATCCTAACAACATACTTTCTAGTAAAGGTTAGGGAAGGAAAATAATTTTAAAGGTTCATCAATGTCAAAACTACTGCACTTACTTAAGAATAAACTCTTCTTGAGCGCACATACAAGAACTTAATAATGGCGGGTGGTTTAAATAACTTCAAGTCCTTTGCACATGATATTTTAACCTTCCTGAATATTATCTTTTCTACCATCTGAGAGTATAGTTTTCAGTCTATAACACATTGTTAAGCATTAACTAGTTCTACTTAAGTTTATAATAATTTTATGTTATTCCTCAGCCAAAGAACTTTCCTACTTAAGTGAACAAAGGCACATAACTATTTAGCAAAAGGCTTTAGGTATTCATAGTGTGAATGGCCTAAGCAATTTCTCAAGTTTTTTAACGCCAAACTTCATTTGTATCAGCAATTCGAACAGACATAATATCTAAACAAGTAGGACCCTAAACCATAGCCTCTCATCTCCACTTTTAAACAGAATTCCAACATCTTAATATTCGGCTAAGTTAAGTTATAAGTATGTTGTTCTGAACAGGATCAAATCCAAAGAACACAACAAACACATACTTCGCTAAATTATCTGCTCATTATAAATATCCTAAAGGCATGAGTTTTAGTATGGGTTGTGATAAGATAGCATTCTTCCCATAAACTAAAATTATTAATCTAAAAATATTGTATAAAAGAATAAATCCTTAGTTATCTATAAATAAGTAAGAAAATCCAAACACATGGATTCTAATATGTGAACAACAACTATTTTTAAAAAAACTTCTTTACAGCTAGATAATACAGAAACTAACACATGATTCCTAATAAGGGAAATACGATAATATATCTCAAGAAATTCATAATCAGGATTCCCTAAGGACATGCTATCTGCAATTCGGTCAAACACATTTTATTCTAGTACAAAATTGTTTACAACCAGAATACACGATCCGAGTACATCCTAAATCATTTTCTAAAAAAACAAAAAAAATAGTGATTCACATACTAGCAAATAAATACGCAAGCTGAAACTAGATTAAAAGAAAACGGGAGATAGAATTAAGAGAGTCGCTGACCTTTTGTGGTGCAGTAACTGGGGCACGCATCAAGCAGATCTACTTGACTCCGGCTTCGAACTAGGGCTCATGCTTGCAACCACGAACTTTACAAGCTCCGAAAAGTGCAAACAAAATGCCTCTGTTGTAGCAAAGAGAAACAGAGGCGACGCAACCAAGGATTTTTAGAGTATTTTTTGAAGAGTAAAGTTGTTTCAAAAAGGCAGAGATGCCATATTCCAGAAGTGGTCCGAAATTATTCCTAAACATCAGTATTTATAGGAGGACCAGGTAGGGTTTCCTAGGGTTAGTTTGG